GTTATATGTCAATTATGTCTCAATAAGGCTGACAGGAAAACAGAAAAAAAAAAAAAACAAAAGGATCCAGATGTTCGGAAGTTTACTTTGGGCAGACTTGAGCCCATGAGATCCAGTTCAATTCCATCTCAAAGGTAAAATGTTGCTATGCAGAAAATATTCTACTATTTAGACTTGGGCCAGGATATAATACTTCCATCCTCACCAGAGATCTACAGGCTTATTATTATTTTTTTAAACCAGAGAAAAAAAGAGGTATGTGTTTAGAGAATCAATCAGAATCAAATCTTCACCCAAGAAGCTCTGTATAAACATTAACTTGGCTATCCAGCCTTCATCCAGCTGTCTCTTCTCAAATTTACACAGGCCAAAAAAAAAAAAAAAAGATGTAAACTAAAAATATCACAATAACTGGAGGCTGACATCTGTAAGCCTCCTCAGTTGAAGCATCCAAGTCAATGCAACAAATATTTACATTAAGAACCAGAATGTTAGGAAATAGTTCAAAAAATCTGATAGGGCTAGATATTCACAGACATCTCCAAAGTGTTCAGTGCACATAACACAGAATATAGAATAGGTTATGTATTAAGTATCTGCTTTCTAATATCCTTTATAGAATCTCTGATAGGAATGTCCTTATGTCATGCCAATCAGCATAAAGCCTGGAAACAGCAGGACAGCAGGACAGAGAGAGTAGACCAAAGCCACTACATTTCTGCCATTCTGTCCTGCCAAGCCATGGGACTCTTCTTCTCTCCAACAGCACTATCCACCTCCCACCCTCACCATCCATGGAGTCCAGGCACAATGAGAGGCTGGATCGAATTCATACTCCTGAATAAATGTCCAGCATCCCCAGAAGACAAAGAAGCAGACTAATGATATTAAATAGCAGTGCCACATGTCAGGCAAATTTTAATTTCTCTCTTTTACTTTATGATGATACAGGACTCTAAAGTCTGATGAATTTTAAATTGTGCCAATATTCAATCCAGCAGATTCTGGCAAAACATAACTGTAACAACAATAGAATGAAAACTATAACAAAACCCCACATTATCTGAAAAATCTTTACTATCAGTATGAACAAGCATCCAAGGTGGAGAACCGGATGGTTGTGAACCCCTGTCCTTTGCTTTGGCAGAGTAGGTATAACCTTTTGCCACATTTGTTCTCTCTCGCTGCTCATCAGAAGTCATTAATAAGATGTAATGCTATATGGTATACTTAGCTTGACAGCAGAGAAGTCATTTCACTGGGAATGGCGGAAGTTTACTTACCAGCACACAAACTAATTTTACATGAGGATCCTGAACTCAAGATTAATCCTTACTATCTTCGCAATCTTGTGTTTTATTTATATGTTCTCTAACACTTACATTTTGCATTGTGATTACTTGTGCTTGTGTCTGTCAGTGCCAGTGAACTGTGAACCCCTTGAGAGTCAGCTCTAGGTTTTGTTCATCTTGTGTTCATCTCTCAAGGCCTAGGGTGGAATTTTGTAAACAATAGATGAATAATAAATGTTGAATGAATGAATGAACCAACTGCCCAGAAAAACTAAAGACAACACTACACACTGTCTATAGAGAATCTGTTCAATTGACACGTGTGTATGTATTGTTACCTGTGGATCAAAGGAAACCAACTACATCCAAGAGTCTGTCAGTATTTTAAATCAGTTGTCCCATTTTTATTTCTCTCCAGTCTACCCCCCCCCCCGAAACTTCAGTGAATGGCAAATTTGATTGTTGTCAATAACTTTTAAACAAAAACATCTGTGGATGTGGGAAGTGGCAAGTCAGTAAAAGATACAATGTAAATATAATACAATATTAAGTATTGTAAAGAAATAACATCTGCTCATTGTTGTTTTTTATACTTTGTAGCATTTTTCTTTTTGTGAAAATGTAGTCTGTTGTAATCTCTTCTAGAGAGGGACTGGGGTGGTTAACTTCCTCAAAGCTGGTATGTCTGAAAAAACGCCTTGTTTCGCATTTGCATTTGAATGCTAATTTGGGTAGACACAGAAATCTCCATTCAAAGTCCTGTTTTGTTTGTTCTGTTTTGTTTTTTGGCACCAGAGGTCCAGAGGTTCCTGCCTCTAGAGAGGCTGATAAGAAGTTTGCTCTAAATCAGATTCTTCATTGTAAATGATATTTTTCTTCTTTGATAACTTTTAGGATTCTTTCCTATACTTTAAGGTCTTAAAATTTTTCTACATTATTATACATCTTAGTACATGGTAACCTTGTCATTCTTAAGTCTTTTTTCTTAGTTCTAAGAAATGCTTAAGAGAATATTTATTTAGCCATTGGCTCCTCTGTGTTATCTCTATTTCTCCTTTAAAAAAATGTCTCTTTATTAGATATTGGTAAAGCTAGAGCTATTCTTCAAGATTCTTTTCTTTTCAACTTTCTCTTTACCCTTTGATCTTATATTATGGAAGAATTCCTTAGCTTTGCTCTTCCTAGCTGACTAATTTGTCCCTCTGTTTTTTCATGCTGCCTCTGAGCCATCCTTAAGTTCTTAATGGTAACAATTACATTTCTTCATTTTTCAGATTTCCTCTTGAGTCTGTTTTATAAAAATAAAGATACTGTTGTTTCATGGATGTAATGCCATCTTTTACATCTCCAAAGGTATTAATCACTCTTCCTATCATGTTTGGTTCTGAAGCTCTCCAAGCTTAGACTAGGCTCCTTATTCTGGTCTTTCTCCAAGTCAGCAGTCCTTCTATTTCTGGTTGTTTCCGACTGTGAGCTCATCTTTTCTAGACTCTCTGTGAAGGCAGCTGGTCCTGGAGGACAGGCTAAGCAGTGATGGGTGCTTGTGCTCCTTGCCGCTTTCAGTGGGAACGGGGGACAGGCAGAGCTGAGGACAACTGCTTACTTCAGAGCTTGTCAGGCCCCCAAATTATCCTGGATATCATCAGCTACCTGGAGCCTTTCCCTATTTCTCCATCCTAAACTCTGACGTAAACAGTGGATGGAGAAGGGAAGAAGGAACGCACAGGGATCCACAGGACAAATTGCTCCCACTACCAGGGCTCTACCAAACTCAAGTGTAGCAGGCTATTGCCACACTTCTCCCACTCCAGGGTGCCAGCACGCAGAGTGATGTAGCTTTTCTGTGGTGGCTCTGGGTCGGCCCCACCCTTCAATCTGCTAGGAATTCCTTGAAGCCCCTAGTCCCTTGAGAGGTTTATGTATAATTCCTCGGTATGGCTAGAGATTCAGATGTCTCTTTGTATCAGTTCTAAAATTCTTCAGATTTGGCACAGTGGAGGGACCAGACATCTTGAAACTAGCACATGCTTAATCTTATCCTTACCTGGAGCCTCCTGCACAACAGATAGGATATACTGGAATTGGAGAAAACTCTGGTACTTATTTGACATGTTGGCCATTTTCCTTTTTACTCTTGGATCCAACTTCTATTTTTCCCCTCTTTGACCCTGCATCACAGGAAACTACCTTCCCTGACTCTCCTAACATCTGGTTTCTGGGCCAGTTCAGCCAATGGGCTGACAGGTGAAGGACGGGAAGTGATATGAGAGAGAAGCTCAGGCTCCCTGCCAGGATGACACCTCTGATAACACCTGTCGCTCTTCCCTGGCCCCAGCACTCATCATGAGCTAGCTCCTCTGGTCGGCTTTGGTCTTAGACTTTACTGACATAAGCTTCTACCATCCTCTCCCCAGTCCCAGGAGTATAGGGCCCCCTGCTGTTCTTGATCTCTGGGGCGCTGTGTTATTTCCTATAATACCACCTCCTTACAACAGATTTCCTATGTTAAACTTTTGTTGAGAGGCCTAGGATGCTTTTGTTTTCCTGGCTGAACCCTGACTTGAAGTTCACAGTTCTGAAGAGACATCTTCAAAGATGATAATTGGTAATTCCTTTCTTTGAGGGGAAAGGAGCATCAGAGTGAAGGAATACTCAACCTGGAGAAGGTTCTCCATATCTAAGCTATCCCAAGTTATTTCAAGGAGTGACAGGGAATTCTTCAAAATGTGACTTTGGGCAAGTATTTTACTTGAATTGCATATATGCCATAAAGCGGATTTGCAAGGAAAGTCTTAGGAGCCTCTCCTGTTATTAAACACAGTGTTCTAGAATTACAAAATGGTATCCTAGAGGAGTGAAATCTTTGATTATAGCAGAAACCTTCCTTAAGGCTCCTCAAGCTTTAGACCTACCTCTGGGCACAGCCATAAAATAGCTTAAAGAAAACACTTTCGTCATCTCTACTATTTACCATTTTCTCTGTTAGGAGAGGATTAGATGAAATGATACCAAACCCTTAGAAAAAGTCTCGTGTAGCTCTATTTCTCATTTGGAAATTGAGAATATCACTGGCTTTTAAGCCCAGCCCATTATTATCACTCCATAAATGCTTTGTGAGTTGCACAGAAACAAGAAAACCCAGCAGCATGGCTCATGATCAGAGAAAAAACGAGAGCCACACCGTGCCCCCAATATGCCACATGGCTGCAGATATGAAAGGCCCTGAATCCCTCCTTTCATTCCCATTTCCAGTGTTTGAACTTGAATATATGGGCCATCTATTTATTAAAGGAGAGAGCTACATTGGCATGGGATAAATTGCTGTTTGCAGCAAGATGCTTTTTAATACAAAGGATGTTTCTTGAATTCCTTTTAGATCTGAGATCCACAGCTTAGGAGTGTTTGGTGTGTATGTTTTAAAATTGCATGACTATTATACAAGCCCTTCTCTTCAGTTGGCATGAGAAGGCTATTCCCATCCTTTATGGGCTCTGTTCTTTACTCCCTCAAAGCTGAGGCGGTGAAAACATTGCCAGCCTTAGCCAGCTTTTCGTGGAAAGCTGCCACTCTTAACTGGCGCCTACATGCAATTTCAGACTCTCCCAGGAGATCTTAATGCTTTGAGGTGAATTTGTAACACTGGGGCCAACAAAGAAGTTAACACAAACTTTCACAGTTAAAGACCCAAAAACAAGTCTGCAGGCTTACTGAAGGAGCTCCGCGTCTGTGAGCGCCTCTGTCCTCTGCTCCCCAGTGACCACGGCCAGTTCATCCTTCAGTTCCTGGATTTCTTTTTGTAGGCGTATAATCATCTACAAATGGCAAGGCGGGAGAATAAATGTCAACTCCTCATTAAAGGGAACTTGGTGACAGAGAACATAACATCTTTGAAAATTACGAACAATTTAGAGGATGCGAAAACGTACAGAGAATGATACAAAAGCCACCCCGTACCTACCACCAGCCTTCGTCAATTCTTAACGTTTCATCAAAATCATTCTAGAATTCATTTTAACAAATAAAGCAGAGCTTATGTAACTGGAGCCCCTCATCCTATTTCTTTTCTCTTGAGGTGATCACTGTACTGCATTTCATCGGGAGCATTTCCCTGCATGTTTTCATATGTTTACTCCATCTTTATGGATTAAACTATAAATAATATATGGTATCATTCTGCATGCTTTAAACGTTACCATGCTGCGTGGAATGGTAACTTGCTTTTTTCTTCCTCACATTAGGTTTTTGGGATTATGTATCCTGCTTCATGTGGCTCTAGTTCATTAATTTGCATGGAAATATACTATTTCGGTGAAGGAATATATCACAATTTATCCATGTCTCCTGTCGATGGACATTGAGGATTCTTCCTCTTGCTATTACAAACAGTGTTGCTATTAACACTATAAATCTCCGGGCACATATGTGAGTTTCGCTATAGGAGGTGCTTAGAAATAAAATTGTGTGGTTGTAGAGTATGTGCATCTTCTCTTTAGTATATATTGTTAAACTGCTCTTTAGAGCCATTTTATAAACCTACATTCTGCATAAGCAATATATACAAGTTCCTGTTTCCCCACATTTACTTCACTACATATGTAGTATTGACAGACGCTTTAATCTTGCCAGTTCAGAAGGTGTAAAATTGTATCTCATTTAGTTCTAATCTGCATTTTCTGATTATTAGGGGGGTTGATCATCTTTGCACATGTATATTGGCTGTTTGGGTTTCCTTTTCTGTGCATTACTTATTTATATTCTTGCTCATATTTCAATTGTCTTATTTTTCTCTTCCTTGTTGGTCTGCTGGCTTCTTTATATATGAATCCTTTGTTAATTTTATGCAAGGTACATGTTTTTTCCCAATCTATTCCATGTTTTTCATTTTTTCAAAGATTTTATTTATTTACTTGTCAGAGAGAGATATTGAGAGTACAAACAGGGGGAGTGACAGGCAGAGGAAGATGGAGAAACAGGCTCCCCACTGAGCAGGGAGCCTGATGTGGGGCTCTATCCCAGGACCCTGAGATCATGACCTGAGCCAAAGGTACATGCTTAACCAACTGAGCCAGCCAGGTGTTCTGCTTTTTGTGGTGTTCTTTCTGTTAAGTAAAGATTTTAAATTTCAATATAATTTTATTATCAACTTCTTCCATTATGAGTTGTATTTTTGTGTCTTTTAAAATCCATTTTACCTAAAACCATAAGAGTATTTTCCTATATGTTCTTTTAAAAGTTTTAAAGCTTTGCTTTTCACATTTAGGCTTTTGTTTTGTATAAAGTATGAGGTATGTATCTAATTTCGCTTTTTATATGGTTAACCATGTAAGATTTGCTATTATAATTTTGTTATATAACATGTTTCTACATATAAATGTGTCTTTTTCTTGGGCTCTTGGTTAAAAACATTTATGTACTTGACTATACATGCAGCAATACTATGCTATTTTAATTATTATAGCTTATGAAATTTTGACATTAAGATAGAATAAGCCCCCACCATTTTATTCTTTTCCAAAATAGATATGGCTATTCTTGGTCATTTGTTCTCTTGCAGAAGTTTGAGACACAGCTTATAAAATTCCACCAAAGGTCCTCCTCAATTTTTAACTAGAAATAAATTTGATTAAAAGGGCAATTTGGGGGGCACCTGGGTGGCATAGCTGGTTAAGTATCCGCCTTCGACTCAGGTCAAGTTCCGGGGTCCTGGGATAGAGCCCCACATTGGGCTCTCTGCTCAGTGGGGAGCCTGTTTTTCCCTCTTTCTCTGCCTGTTGCTCCTGCTGTCTGTGCTCTCTCACAGTCAAATAAATAAATAAAATCTTTTTTAAAAAAGGGTCATTTGGTAAGACTTAACAAATTAGTAATGTTGAATCATCTCATCCACAAACATGATTTCCACTGATTCCTTTCAATAAAGATTTACCATGTTCTCTATAAACATATGCTTAATCAGATTTTTCCCTAGATTGTTAGTTTTTGTTGCTATTATTTTTTTCATTTTATTTCTATTCAGTATTCCAAAATTCATTGTTTATGCACCACACCCTGTGCTCCAGGCAATAGATGCCCTCCATAATACTCACCACTAGGCTCACCTATCCCTCCACCCCCCTCCCCTCCAAAACCCTCAGTTTGTTTCTCAGACTCCACAGTCTCTCATAGTTTGTCTCACCCTCCGATTTCCCCCATCTCACTTCTCCTCTCCATCTCCCCATGTCCTCCGTGTTATTCCTTATGCTCCACAAGTAAGTGAAACCATATGATAATTGACTCTCTCTGCTTGACATATTTCACTCAGCATAATCTCTTCCAGTCACATCCATATTGATGTAAGTAGGGTATTCATCCTTTCTGATGGAGGCATAATACTCCATTGTATATATGGGCCATATCTTCTTTATCCATTCGTCTGTTGAAGGGCATCTTGGTTCTTTCCACAGTTTGGTGACTGTGGCCATTGCCACTATGAACATTGGGGTACAGATGGCCCTTCTTTTCACTACATCTGTATCTTTGGGGTAAATACCCAGTAGTGCAATTGCAGGGTCATAGGGAAGCTCTATTTTTAATTTTTTGAGGAATGTCCACACAGTTTTCCAAAGTGGCTGCACCAACTTGCATTTCCACCAACACTGTAAGAGGGTTCCCCTTTCTCCACATCCTGTCCAACACATGTTGTTTATTGTCTTGTTAATTTTGGCCATTCTAACTGGTGTAAGGTGGTATCTCAATTTTTTTTTTTTCAATGTGGTTTTGATTTGAATCTCCCTGATGCCTAATGATGGTGAACATTTTTTCATGTGTCTGTTAGCCATTTGTATGTCTTCTTTGGAGAAGTGTCTGTTCATGTCTTCTGCCCAGTTTTTGATGTGATTATCTCTTTAGTATGTGTTGAGTTTGAGGAGTTCTTTATAGATCTTGGATATCAGCCCTTTGTCTGTAGTGTCATTTGCGAATATCTTCTCCCATTCTGTGGGTTGCCTCTTTGTTTTGTTGACTGTTTCCTTTGTTGTGCAGAAACTTCTGATCTTGATGAAGTCCAAAAAGTTTCTTTTTGCTTTTGTTTCCTTTGCCTTTGGAGACATGTCTTGAAAAAAGTTGCTGTGGCCAATGTCTAAGAGACTATTACGTATGTTCTCCTCTAGGATTTTGATAGATTCCTGCCTCACGTTGAGGTCTTTCATCCATTTTGAGTTTATCTTTGTGTATGGTGTAAGAGAATTATTGAGTTTCATTCTTCTACACATAGCTGTCCAATTTTCCCAGCACCATTTACTGAAGAAACTGTCTTCTTTCCATTTGACATTCTTTCCTGCTTTGTCGAAGATTATTTGACTGTAGAGTTGTGGGTCCATATCTGGGCTTTCTACTCTGTTCCACTGGCCTATGTGTCTTTTTTTGTGCCAGTACCATGCTGTCTTGGTGATCACAGCTTTGTAGTAAAACTTGAAATCTGGCAACATGGTGCCCCCAGTTTTGTTTTCCTTTTTCAACATTTCCTTAGCAACTTGGGGTCTCTTCTGATTTCATACAAATTTTAGGATTGTTTGTTCCAGCACTTTGAAAAATGCCGGTGGAATTTAGATCAGGATGGTTTTGAAAATATAGATTGCTCTAGGTAGTATAGACACTGTAACAACGTTTATTCTTCCAATCCATGAGCATGGAATGCTCTTCCATCTTTTTGTGTCTTCAATTTCTTTCATGAGTGTTCTGTAGTTCCTCGAGTACAGATCCTTTACCTCTTTAGTTAGGGCTATTCCCAGGTATCTTATTGTTCTTGGTGCTATCGTAAATGGAATTGATTCTTTAATTTCCCTTTCTATATTTTCATTGTTAGTGTATAAGAAAGCAACTGATTTCTGTACATTGATTTTGTATCCTGCCACATTGCTGAATTGCTATATGAGTTCTAGTAGTTTGGGGGCGGAGTCTTTGGGTTTTCCATATAAAGTATCATGTCATCTGCGGAAAGAGAGAGTTTGACTTCTTCATTGCCAATTTGGATACCTTTTATTTCTCTTTGTTGTCTGATTGCTGTTGCTAGGACTTCTAGTACTATGTTGAATAACGGTGGTGAGAGTGGGCATCCTTGTCGTGTTTCTGATCTCAAAGGGAAGGCTGTCAGCTTTTCCCCACTGAGGATGCTATTCACTGTGGGTTTTTCATAGACAGATTTATGAAGTTGAGGAATGTTCCCCCTATCCCTATAGTTTGAATCGTTTTAATTAGGAATGGATGTTGTATCTTGTCAAATGCTTTTTCTGCATCAATTGAGAGGACCATGTGGTTCTTCGCTCTTCTCTTATTGATTTGTTTTATCACATTGATTGATTTGCGAATGTTGAACCACCCTTGCATCCCATGGATTTTTGTTGCTACTATTAATGAAATTTTTGTCAAATTGTATTTTCTAATTGTTAGCTTTTCATTTATAGAAAGGCAATTAATTTTTATGTATGGATTATGTACCAAATAATTTTCTGAACATTGTTTGGTTCTGTTTATCATTAAATATTTTTAGGTGTTCAATATAAGCAATCAAATTGTTTACAAGTAATGACAAATGTTTCCTTCTTTTCAAATCCTCATACCTTTTTTATTTTTTAAATTGTCTCTTCCCTAGCTAGAACTTCCAAGTATAATGCTTCAAACTTTCATTCTTATTTTATTCCTTCTAACATTTCACCTTCAAAATGTTTGCTGTAGTTTTTGGTTGATACCCTTAATCACTTTAAGGCTGTTCACTGATATTTATAGTTTGATGAGTCTTTTCAAACTATGGATGAATGTTTAATGTTAAAAATATCTCTTCTGCATCTAGTGATGTGAGCATATAATTTTTCTCTTTTTAACTGTGAATGTTATGAATCACCTTCATTCATGTGACTTCTTTTTTAGTATGAACTACTTCAAATACACAAAAAGATATATAAAGGGTATCTTGTAAACCCACTACTTAGCTTAAGTGAACACCAATATACCTACTATGTAACTTAAGAAATAAAACATTACAGATGCTTTTGAAGCCTGAACCTCTGTATAGCTTTCTCTAAATAAATCTCTTGTTATCATTACCTAAAATTTGGTGTTTATTTTTCCCATGGCTCTTTTCTTTTATTATATACACTAAAATGTTTTCTAATGACACATTATCTTTCAATTCCCAAAATAAACCCAACTAGCTCATGATACCACATATTAATAATCACAATGCAAATTTCCTAAAACAAGAATTGGCAGACTGAATTAAACTTATATTCTTCCTTCAATATTTGGTAAACTTAAAAACAACATGGAGTCTGCTCCATCCTTCCTTTCTTCCTGTCTTCTTTCTCTCCCTCCCTCTTCCCCTCCTTCCCCCCTTTCCTCCATTCTTTCCTTCCTCTTTCTCTTTTTCTCTTTGTCTTTCTCTCCCTTTGGTACCTCTGTTATTACTAAATCTATTTAATAGTCATATTCATGCTCTTAAAAATTCTTCTTAAAAATTAAAATAATAAATTCTTCTTGCATTAGCTTCAATGTTGTTTTTTAAAGGAAATTGTCTATTTTTGCTTTTAAATTTACTGCCATAAAGTCATTCAAAATACCTTATTATTATTTTAAGCTATCAGTTGTACCTATGGTTAAGTCCTCTTTTCATTCCAAATACTGTGTCGATTTCTGCCTTCTTTATTCCTTTCTTCATTAATCTTTCCAGAGATTTGTTCATTTCATTAATAGATTAAAAGTCAACTTCAGTTTTGGTTACTCCTTTCTACTGTATCTTTGCTTTGGGTTTTGTTTTTGCTCATTTTACACTTTTTAATTTCTGTCTTTCTACTCTTTTGGATTTATTTTAGTGCTCATTTTTCTAACTTCTTGGCTTGGGGTCTACTAGACCAAGGGAATTTGTAAATTTGAACTTTGAACTCATGGGAAGCAGAAGCTTAGGATTTAAAACTTCCAGAGAAACCAACTTTTGCTCCACCTGAAGCCCAGGCTAAGGCAGATAAGCTTCCCTAGCATCTCCCTATGCCAGTGGGCAGATTTTTTCTTTTCTGGTTCACCCTTTCACTGGTTTCATATTGAGAAGCAGAGAACATATGTTCATCACATCTTCCAAGGTTCCAGGGCTCCATATTTGATGGCTTTCTTACAATTCCCTTCATCCCTCTACTCCAGGACAACTGCAGCCTTAGCTTGGTTTCTGAGCCCTGGAGAATTCCCTTCACTCATTCAACCTCAGACATACATTTCAAAAGTACTTGTTAAATTTTATATATAGGTAGGGTTCCTATTATCTCTGCCATATTGACAGGACCAGAAGTTCCAAAGAATGGGACACTGAGTATTTTGAACATGTCAGTCCTCCTAGAGTTTCATTTAAATGCACAGGATTGAGTGGGTTTTGGTTATTTGCTTCTTTTCAAAAACATGGTCAGAATCATCCAGCTCTGCACAGTGAAAATCCTCAGACAGGAACTATGTGAGTCATTCATTTGTATCTCCTCCCCCTCACCCCCAAATTAATATTGATGTCATATTTTCTACTCTGCTAAGGCATTCAAAGTCAAATCTAACAACCAAATTAACTTCTGTCACTGAGCAGAAATCTCAAAACTAAGCCAACTTTCATGATTTTGAGATTATTACAATCATTCCTCCCATCAAATTACTGTAGAAACTTTGGAATGAGAGCCATCCATAGAAGATTTTGGCCCATGCTGAGTCACCACAGACTCTGGCCTCTTTACAATTCTTTTATCACTTTGTCTTACTGAGACTTGTAAAGAAAGCAAGTCAAAACCCTGGTGATCCTGATCTTAGAGGGCTGGTTTCACGTGTGCCATTAGATTCTGAGAGCAATACATTGGGAATCCCATCCAAATTGTGTTTTGGGTGTTTTTGAGGACAAATTTGCAATTGTCACCTGTGCTTCAGAAAAGCTCTGTCCATAAAGTCATGAATAGTAATGTCAGTTTTTTGAAGCCATTATAAAAGAGAACAGGAGATAACACTTATCAATTATAGATTGCTCTGCACCAGAAGATCTCTCTCTCTATAGATTAGATATAGATATAGATATAGATATAAAACAAATCTTATTTTATTTCTTATTTAGATTCAATAAGCCAACATATAGTACATCATTAGTTTCAGATATAATGTTCAATAATTTATCGGTTGCATATAACATCCAGTGCTCATCAGCTCATCACCTCACAAATGAAACTGGACTGTTTTCTTACACCATACACAAAGATAAACTCAAAATGGATGAAAGACCTAAATGTGAGGCAGAAATCTATCAAAATCCTAGAGGAGAACATAGGCAGTAACCTCTTTGACCTCAGCTGTAGCAACTTCTTGCTAGACACGTCTCCAAAGGCAAGGGAAACAAAAGGAAAAATGAACTATTGGGACTTCATCGAGATAAAAAGCTTCTGCACAGCAAAGGAAATAGTCAACAAAACTAAGAGGCAACCCACAGAATGGGAGAAGATATTTGCAAATGATATATTAGATAAAGGGCTGGTATCCAATATCTATAAAGAACTTATCAAACTCAACACCCAGAAAACAAATAATCCAATCAAGAAATGGGCAGAAGACCAGAACAGTCATTTCTCCAAAGAAGACATAGAAATGGCCAACAGACCCATGAAAAAACACTCAGTGTCACTTGGCACCAGGGAAATATAAATCAAAACCACAATGAGATACCCTACACCAGTCAGAATGGCTAAAATTAACAAGGAAGACCTCAATATTTATTCAATTAACAGCTGTCAGCTTTGATTCAGAATTCTCTCTTCTTTACATTTTTTGTAGTCCTACATCAAACACATGACAATGTTCACCTTTCTGCACATTCCTCAAGTAACTTCAAAGTCTCTCTAGCCAAACTTAAAGAAAAAAAACCCCTCCAGCATTTAATATATTCATTTTCCTTCAATTACGCTCTAATTTTTGTCTTCAGGCTAATGATTCATGGCTGTCTTTCTCGGGCTGCTCTGTGATGCAACAGGGTTGTTTGCTGGGGAGGTGAGGATGGCAGAAGAATTCGTCCTATGTGTTTCCTTCCACTTGACTCAAGCCTTCGAATTCCAACTCCTTCTTCCAGTGGGGGCACTGTGTGTTGCAGGTGTCTGAGCAGGGTCTGTGCTGGAAAAAGACCCTGCCTCACCCACTTAGTTTCTCCAGAAGAGATTTCCATCTGGGCAGCTCAAGCTCCTGAGACAAGCGGGGTAAAACAAATAACCCCACTATTCTTTTAACCTCCTTTGTCTCTATACTTCAGCACAATGATATCAGGGAGACAGGGCAAACAATCAGAAGGAAATAATTAATATGGGTAACAGTGAATTTAGAAGGTTATTATTATTATTATTTTGGAATTTGAGGAATTTATAAATGAAGCACTGTTGGTGAGATTTCACACCCTTTTTATAACGCATACTGCTAAGCCTACACCAGCTTACATTCTAGAGAAAATTTTTAAAAACTGAGTGATCTGGAAAGTAATATAATCTTAATTTGGGAATGTATAAAATTAAAATATTTTATTTCTACATTTTCAATGTTGGCATAAGTTGATTTCATGTTGTATTTCATTTAGAGAAGAGTAACAAAATAGAGAAAAAACATCTGCATTTAAAATGAGGATCTGAGTCATGGAACTTGCAAATATTTTTGCTTTAAAAAAGCACTCTGATAGGAGTGCCTAGGTGGCTCAGATGGTTAAGCATCTGCCTTTGGCTTAGGTTGTGATCCCCAGGTCCTGGGATGGAGCCCCACATCGGCTCCCAGCTCAGCGGGGAGTCTGCTTCTCCCTCTCCCTCTGGCTCTCCCCCTGCTTGTGCTCTATCTCTGTCTCTGTACCTCTCTCAAATGAATAAATAAAAAAATAAAAATAACAAATAAATAAATAAGTAAATAAGTACTCTGATAAAGGAGGATTCATTGTTATAGAACTAGAAGTTTACCTATTTTTCCATGGGCCCAACTAATGATTAAGTTTTTTAAAGATTCGTTTATTTATTTTGAGAGAGATAGAAAGTGAGGGAGCAGGAGGAGGGGCAGAGGGAGAGGGAGACAGAGAATCTCACACATACTCCCCACTGAGCATGGAGCCCAACATAGGACTCAATCCTGCAACCCTGAGATCATGACCTGAGCCGAAATCAAGAGTTGGATGCTTAACAGACAAAGCCACCCAGGGACCCCACTGATTAATTTTTTCTAATCTCTACAATAAGCGGCAGGGCAGTTGTACAAAATACGGTTTTACTTAATAACCATTAGAACTTCATTTTCCTCTGTTAGCTTTTATAGAAGATGGTCTATTTTTATTATTATCTCTAGAAACTTCAACTGATGTTTTCTGAAAGTCTACCACCTGCATGTAAATAGAACTGGCCCTGACCAAGTCCCATGCATCCTCAGGACTCACTGCACTATCTCAGGAGCGGACTGAGGGGACTGCAGCTGGCAGGTCCTTGCGTCAGACCATCTGTACTTAAATCCTGGCTCTGCCACTTATGGGGGCTGTGACTCTCAGCAAGTTAGTTAACATTTCTGTGCCTCAGTTTTGTCATCTGTAAAGCAGGGATGGAGATGACATCTACTCATAAACTTGTTGTGAGAATTCAATCAATTAATATGTTTCTAATACTTAGAACATAGCCTGGTATGAAGGATGTGCCTCTCGAGTTTTGCTAATCTTTAATCCACTTTGATTTTTCTTCCAACCTAGTAAGTTCAAAGTTGCTTACCAATCTGGGATCAATTTCTTCATTAAGAACAGCTTCATTCTTTATGAGTGCCACTCGTTGTGCAAATCTGCAGGTAGATATCGACTCCTATAAAGCAAAATAACTCCTTAAAATGTTATGGCTTAGAAAGATAACCCTTCATTTTTGTTCACAGAAGAAAGAAGCACATCTAAAGAGTGATGTGGTAAAAACACAACAAGGGACCATGCCTCCAAATGAGGAAGCTTTGCTCTAGAACATCAGTTTAATTAAAATTTTATTTTGGCCTAATAAAATGATCCATGCTAAACATGTGGGAGATCATGAGATCCTACATGGCAACTTATGTATTTTTCAACTCCTGATCTATAAAACCGGAGCCCCATATAGAAATTATAATTATTGCAGATACTATTATAACCCACAAACTTGAATGACTACAAAATAAACATTTGTAACAGGCCAGAAAGAGGCTTTGCAAGACATCTTAGAATGCACTTAGGAGTTGGCCTCGTTTTGGAAGACATCCTGCCACTTCTTATTTTCCTCTTCTAGAGAAATTCTGGATCCCAAGAATTGGACTGCAATGCATAAAACATGAAGTTGAGTCTAAAGCAACACAGGAAAGTCAGTCAGTAGCCAGGCCTTGATAAAGTATCCTGTAGACTGCACTCAGTGACAGGTCTAGGGACATGTCCTAGAGATGAAGGTATCTTAGTAATTAAGAGCTAAACAGAAAAGCAGCTAATGGGTCTCCTCTCTCATATCCTCTGGCCAAGATAACTAACCCAGCAGCAGGCTTCCCAAAATCTGTATCTGAGCCTTCTTCCCACCATCCTGGACTGTGTGAAGTCCATTCTCAAATGGGGGTAATTATAATGCTGGCAAAGCAGCCAAAGCTGTGAACTCTGCAGGGTGTTTACATCTCAAAGCATACCCCAACCCGGCTGAAAAGATGGAAATCTGCCCAGGACCTTCAGCGCCATCTCAGAAACTGGCTACAGAAACTCAGACTGAGATCTCCGGAAAGAACCAACGTACGTCGATATTCCTTTTCTCTAAAGAGAGTGTTGCAATCATGGTTGTCATGCAGTTCCCTCCCAAACTGTCCCTTAGGACACTGGTCATCATGGAGTTCCTGTAGGGAATGTGTGCACGGTGTTTTTCGGAAAGAGCAATGATCACCTGTGGTGTAGCAGAAAAATAATGGCATTAGATTAGCAGAAAATGCATATCTCACACTCAGCTAAGGTGCAACTGCAGTGAAAATTCAAACAGAAATCATAACTGAATGCAGGGTGACATCTAAAACCTGGGCTCAAAATAAATATTTTAACATGATTTGGTACCCTAATGGTGAAGATGGAGGGAAGTGAACTTAACAAAAACATACCACTGTGAACACTGTAATTTTTGGACAGATGATATAACTTGGCATAGAAAAGGATATATTATTATCCTGTCTTTGGCCACCGGAATATTCATGTAAAACTCAAGAGTAAATCATGCCAGAGTTTTACAATCCCCACCAAAACTGATTTCTATGACCCATCTTCAAGGTAGAAGAGGCACAGCAGTAAAGAAGAACTATGAGAGACAGCAGGGGTTAGTGATGGAGACCCAAGAGTCTGGTATCACATTGTCCAGGTCTAAATTCTAGCCTTACTAGGGCATGTCACTCAACATCCCTGCCTCGGTGTCCTCAACTGTAAAACTGAGAAAGGATAACAGCTACCTCATAGGGAGTTGGAGTGACTGAGTTAAAATGCACAAATTTTGAGAAGCAGCCAGCTAGCTCAGTGCTGTCTGCATGGTTGCCATCATTCTAAGTGATGGGGGAAGTTTATGTTGGGTCAGCTAAGGCTTGCTCATCTTACTCTTCACTTAATAGGAAGGTACTAGCTGGATGAAAGGCTGCTGCCCAAAGGGAGCTACCAGGGCTTCAGGGTTTTCCCGGGAAGATGAACCCAGTGCTAGGATGTCCATCTCAAGCATCAGGAACAAGGCGCTCACAGATGTGACTTCAGAGGCATCATGAGGCCCTGACTCTTGAAAATACCTCGGCTAACACCTACCATTGTTCTAACCTTCCCTCCCCTCAGGTGTGTAATCAGAACTTCTTCTACCCTCTTGGTTTGTAAAACAAAATTGTTTTCAAAGGCTCTTTGGGGCAAAAACACATAATACCACCTGCTTTAAATTCATGACTACAGATCTTATTAGAAACTAAATATCCTCTGATCATTTCTCTCAAAAAGTAGTTCTCCAATCTCAGAAACAAGGCTTTCATATCTTATCCTTTTGTTTCAGACCTCCACCCAGCCTTCGCGCCCTGCCTTTAGTCTTAGCTGATGGTCACACACCCTTCCATTAGAAGGGAGCAGCCTGACCAGAACCATCTCTTGTGCCATCATTAAATGCCCCAAACACTCTGCCCTTCCTGTGTCACCAAATTGCTCCTTCTAAGGTCAGCCCCTCATCCTCTCCCTCTTCGCTTCTCACTTACCTTGCTCCTACAATTACCCCTTTACTTCTGCATCGATTTCTCTCTCTCACCTGGATCATTCCCATCCTGTGTGCCCACTAGTCTAAAAACTAAGATGGCTCTTGCTAAGGTTTTCAGCAATCCCCTGATGTACCCAAAGTATTTATGGCCATCTTATTAGACTTCTGAGTCGAGTAAGTATTCAACACAGGTACTCTCTGCCTCCTTTTGGAAACACTTTATTCATTGGTATCCAGGACACCACATTTCCCTGGTTTTCATCTTTTCTCAAACATTAGTTAATGAATGTTTCCTTTCCTTCTTCCTAAGTTATAGACACTGGAATACTCCAGGGCTCAGTCCTTGATCCTCTTCTCTTTCTTATCTATACTCTCTCCCTATGGAACCTCATCCAATCCCCTTAAATACATATATACATATATATCCTGATATCTCCCCAATTTATACCATCAGCTTCCCCCTGAGCTGCTCTCTCTGTGGCAACCCTAAATCTCCACTTGAATGTCTATTCTTGACCTTCTCTCCCCTCTCCACACAAATCTGATTCTTTTCTGGGTTTTACCCATCATTACTGATGGCACCACCATCCACCTAATGGCTCAGGTCAAAACCCGCACATCATTCTTATTTCCCCTCATTTCTGACGTGTAATTCACCAGTGATTTCTATTAGTTTTACCTAAACTGCATGGCCCAGAATTGTACCACTTTTCCCACTTCTCCTGTCACCACTCCAGGTCAAGCCTCCATCACCCCTTCCTTGGACAACTATACAAGGCTTTGACTTATCCTTGTTTCTCTTTTTGCCCTCCACACCCCTCACCTCCCTTTGATCTACTCTCTGCAGAGAAATCTTTATAAAATATAAGTTAGTTCAAGTCACTTCACTGCTTACAACCTTCCCGTAGCTTCCTGAAACACAATGACCCAACTCCTGCATGATCTAGTCCCTGTCTACCTATCTGTCCTCATCTTCTATTGTGCTTTCCTTTCATAGCCCACATTGGCCTCGCTGTTCCTCCGCCATAACAAGACTGTCTCCACGTCACCACCTTTGAATTTGTTGTTCTTTTTACCTAGAATCTTCTTGCCCAGATTTTCATATAGCTTCCTATTTCACATCATTTAAATCTTTGCTCAAATCTTGTCTCCTCACAAGGGCTTTCACTAAACACCTTGTCAAATGTAACCTACCTATCTCCAGGATTTTAATCGATTTCACTTTTCTTCCTGTTCTGATCACTATTTGAAATTCTGTTCGCTTATTTACCTTTTTTTAAATCTGCTTACTCACCTGGTTTACAGCTTCATTAGGCCAGAGACTTTGTTTCTCTCATTCACAATTCTACCCCACCATCTACAGCAGTCTATGGGGCAGAAACTACATTGTCTTTTTACTCCATTCTCAGGATAACCCCCATTCTAGTTTCACTCACTATGAAGTTACACTTCCTAGTCTCTCTTATAACTCAACGTTCTACGTGAGACCTAGCTCCATCAAAAGGATGCCTTGTGTGGGGCTGGGAGGTGAGTGATGAGAGGTGGTAGCCACAAAGAGGAAGATCAGATATATAGGAGAGTGTGGTGGTGAAGGCATCTGGTTCCTTTGAGGTAGCTGCAACAAACTTCTGGAATCCGGGACTTACTGTCCTGGGTACCAAGGGCGGAGTTCTGAATTGCCAAGAGCAGTTCAGTGCTGTGGCTAGACTGTCTCCTGTTTATTCTGATCTAGGCTGTGTAGTATCTAAGCCCAGTTTTTTAACTTTTCTTGAGGTTCTTTATGTTTAATGAACTCTACATTGCTTAAATCAGCTACAGTAGGGTTTCTGGTTTATGATAAAGAAATCTGACAAGTACAACATGTGTTCGACACCGTTATGTGAAATGAACAAATAAATGAGTAGATTAATTAGCCTCACCTAGGAAGATAGTGCAAGGGTCAACAGTATGGAGTGAGATTTGGTGGAACTGAGTTTCAGTGTAATTGGAAAGGAAGTAGGGAACATGGAAGACCCAAGTCTGAGTGGCAAGGTGGTAGCAGGGAATGCTAAGCAGAACTCCAGACCCTCAGAGCCAAGAGGGCAAAGGAAATACCTCTAATAATCAAGGCAAGCCCAAATACCAAGCCAGACCAAAGAGGGGTTGGTGATAGATGTGTGGAGAGGGTGGCATAACTGCTTATGAATCATAATTAAGTGTCTGACAATGTTCTAAGTACTTTGAAATTCTTTCATAAAACAAATGTCACTATTTTTTTCCTCTCCAGGAAACAATATTAATACCTCTTCTGTTCAGCAGAAGACAACTTAGGTGTTGTTTTATGTCACCTAAGTTATGACAACTTAGGTGACATAAAAGAGACTATGCTTATTAAGCTTCCCGCTGATAGTAAATTCAATGGGGTTAGTTAATTTGCTATTGGTTGCAGTAACAGAAAATGTAACCCAAACTGGATTTAATCATAAGGGAAATTTATCGGCCCACGTATCTATAATAGGAAAGGTTTTAGGTTACACATAACCCAAAAGGTCAGTGCTACCACCAAGGATTTAGTTTTCACCAATATCTCTGCTCTACCTTCTACGTTGTAGAAGTCTGCCTCTCTTCACGGCCACAGGATGGCTGCCAAATATCCTTATTTATAACTGATGTGAGAAAGTTCTCTAATCATTAAATATATACCCTGGGCTTCCCTAGGAACCAGCTTGGGTCATAGGCCCATCTCTGAACCAATCACTATAGTCAAGGCTCCAATTGGTTTAGACTAGTCAAGGTCTACTCTTGGAGCTGGGATGGATTCATGGCTGCTACTCTTGCAGAGAATGTTGTAGAGGAAATTCCAATGCCTTTTCCAGAAATGGTTCTAAAATGGTTCAAGAGAATAATTAAAATTCCAAATGTGATTATGGATTGGAAAGCATGGTCTTTAAAAATGGGAAAAATGAAAGCAGTTCATAATAAAAGAACGAACCCAGGACTTAGAGGCAGAATCTAGCTGCCCCACTTGTGCGATTTTAGACAGATCTCTTAAGTTTATTAGTCTCTGTTTCCTCACCTGTAAAAGTAGGATTAGAATACCTGCCTATCTCACAGAAATGTTTTAAAGATGAATAGAGATTGTTTCTGGGATAGTAAAACAAAATGCACTCCATATAGCAGGGGTATCCAGTCTATGTTCTTTAGGATCCCTCTGGACACTTGCTACAGCCATATAAAGCTAGTCCTGGGCCATTTCTCTAACAGAGGGCCCTGAAAAGGCACTTTCTCAGCTCTAAAGGAGCCTGGGAGTATCAGAATAAGTCTAGACCCCTTGGAGAAGATACAGATCTTCAGAGTGACCCAGAAATGGCCGGTATTCGGGAAAGAGGCAAAGGTGGATTATTCTTTATGGGGCTGCTTTGGGCTCTCTAAATTGGGCCAGAATCAAATGATCTGAATGGCACAAGCTAAGGAGATAGTTATACAACCTGGATTTTTAAAAAATGTTTACTCCAATTTGGGATTTCATACATAAATATAACAAAATGTTCCTGAAGACATTCTTTAAGCAACAAAGAATGGAAATTCACATTATACTTAATATCTCCAAGTACCTAGAAACTATTCTTAGAATCAATCACTCAGATTACTATTTAATGAATTAAAGAGGTTTTCTTTTAAAGAGCTCAGAAGCACATGGAAAATTGTCCTCTGAAAACTGACAATGATTTGGAGTGGTTACAACTGTCATTGGCAGCATTCGCTTTTCTCCTCAACACACACATTCAGTGGAAGCCAAGTGGAAACTGAAACTCTGAAGAAATCCTGCTTATGGTGGATAACTGGTTGAAGGGAACCCGGATTCTGATTTCTGTAAAGGCAGAGAGCAAACACACTGCTCCCAGTGGTTTCTCACTTGATGTTTGGGCTGACAGAGACCGAAGGTCACACCAGGAGCACATGGTGAGGCTAATGGTTAGAACAAGTATGCATGTCCCCTTCCTTTTCTTCCATGCACTTAATTTCTAGGGCCGAAATGCACCCTGTTATTGTGGCTTAAGTTTTCGAGGAGACTTTTTGGAAAGAGTACTGCATACACAAGGAAAATTCCAAAACCAACAATACTCTGACAAACAGAAATTTATTTATATAAGCACAGTAAGGGGCATGCAACTCAGAAAGGCTGTAAGGTGAGAGCAGATGTAAGGCCCACAACGATGGCCAGAAGGGCAGTGACCGTTCTGCATGGAATTTCTATAACCAACATGGGCTGTTACGTGTAGGAGAGGTTACCAAACTATTTCCTAGGACATCTCCATCTATATACTGAAACTAAGATGGAGAGGATGTAATTAATTACAAACATTTACGTGAGTTGCTAATATAGCATTTATCTGACCGTGTGGAAGGATCTGTTTATACGTGTTGCTCCTTCACTAGATAACATGATAGCACCATTTCTCAATGATGCATTTATCCTCATTGCCTGACATAATTCAAGCACTTCACAGACACTTTGTTACAGTTTGTTGAATGAATGAGTGAATGAATGAATGAATGCAGTTAAATTAAAGTGTGTTATACTTCCAGTCTCGTTAGCCACATAATCAAGTCCTGCATAAAGAAAACGTGGGTATAAAAATCCTTGAATTCCATTATTTTATTAATAGTATCTGCCCCCTCTTTTTATTCTCTTATTCCCCTGTACTCGTTGGTTCTCCCTCACTTATCTCTTTCTGTGTGAAATTCCAAAATTTCTCTATGACCCACCTATTTCCTTATTTGCCACAACTCCTAGATTTACTCAACCCCACATATCTATGCCCATACCTGCAGTTTTCCATATTTCTGTCCCTCTTTCCTCTGATGCTAATCTTCCCCCCTTCTCTCTCTGTTATCTTATGCTATAACCTCTAGGAAGACACTTGTAGAGTTGTGTAAGTAGGTAACAGCTAGAGTCGTGCATTGGGTACATATGAAACGGATAGTTGACATTCAGAAAGCCAAAGGTCAATGACATGTGAGTATTGCTGTGGCCCTGGCTAAACTGAGCCCTCTGGACTGGAGCTAAGGGCTAATGGACTCCCAGTTCCCACTGTCTGACATGCTCTAACCCCAGATCTGCCTGGTTCTCTCCTACTTGTTCTTTGAGTCTCTGTTTAATATCAGCCCTGAGAGAACTTTCATTCCCTTTGCTCTGCTCAGCCGAAGTCCGGGCCCCCATTATAAGCTCTCCTCACCCATTGGCCTTTCTCTGCACAACTCACCTGGATAACAGCCAAGTATTTAATGACTATTTATTCCATGCACATCTCCCTGCACCGGCCCCTGAGACCTTTGGTGCAAGGACCATTTCTACTTTGCTTAGCAGTATGCTCCAGTGCCTGGCATAGTCCTCAGCATGATACTGCTCCTTATAAATGTTCGTTAAATACATAAATTCATTATACAGAAAATCAAGCGCATAGAGCCACCAAGATTACTCACATAAGGCTGATGTTATAAGAATTTTGAAGAGAAGAGATGTGGGGAGAGGAAGAGTTTTAATGAGAAGTAGCAGCTTGCAAAGGTTGTATAGAATGAAGGGAGAGGATTAGGGGCAGAATGTTTTCCTTGAGTGATAACAATTGGTGGAAATTCTGATTTAACTAATGAATATAATTTTGTATGAACAGATGGGCATAATGGGAGTTAAAGCAGACAGTGCTACCATCAGAAACAACTAGGAATATTTCTTTGAAATAAAGCACTTTGAATACAGTCCATTATGTTTTCATATCAGGGTTTTATAAGTGTTCAATTAAGAAAAAGCTCTGTTAAGCAAAAGTACTTACTTAATATTTGAGCAAGAACAGCGAGGGAAGGCTGAGTCTTGTCAGAAACACTAAAATCATCTGAACACATGCAGGCCATTAATCTCTGGGTCCTGCCTTACCGGGGTTCATTTAGTCAGAGCCTAACTGCAGGCACCTTGTTCAGATACAGCTCCCTTAGGTTTCTCTCAATCTGCTTTCTCAGCCAACTTGACCATTAGAAGCATTTAACATCAGGACAATATCAGTCTCAAAAGGGTTCATTAGGCAGTAAAAGAAAAGAGGGGGGAGTTCTGTTTGTTTTTTCAAATCTTTTAGCCTCCAACACTCATTAGCAAGTCCTTCTGCCTTGCCAATATACTCTGTACTTCAACACTCCAGTTTTTGATCATGTTTCTCTTTTTTTGTCCCCCTTAGAATTTGGAAGTAGTTGCCATCTTTAACATTCAACTCACAGCACTTTACTCCTGGAGCTGAAAGAACTTGAGAAATTATCTAATTCAATATGCTCATTTTAGGGGTGAGGATTTTTTTTTCTGGAAAATTTATTTAGCTAAATTCAGATGAGCTTTCTTTGCACTTGGGAGATAAATTCAGAAATCAAAAATAGAGCATACACTGGGGTAGACTGCAGTAAACTTGGGGTAAGGGCTGGAAGGGGAAGCTAAAGCAAAGAGAACCTTCATAGAATCACAATCACCAGCTAGATGAAGTCACCAGAAGCTAAAAAGCTATTAGTCATCTCTAAATTATGTTCCCACAACTAATCTACTAGCCTGAAAAGACAGGCCATGGGAGGCCATTTATAACCTATATTCACACCCATTACAAATTTTATAACAAAAACACTAAGGTATAGTGAGAGAAAACGTGGGCTATGGAGTCAAGCAATTCAAGATTCAAATCCTCATCTCACTATTAACTGGTAACCTCAGGAAGGTCTCAGGAAGACCTGAGTTTCAAAATATATAAAATGGGAATAATTAATACCCACAGAGTAGGGTTGTTGCAAGCTTTAAATGAAATGGTATAGACAAAATGCTGGTAGCTACATAAATCTTCACAGCAGTATTATTCACAATAGCCAAAAGGCAGTGACAACCTAAGTATCCATCGATGACTGAATGGATAAACAAGACATGGCATGTGCAATAAGAAAACATTACTCAGCTTTACAGAGGAATGAAATTCAAACACATGTTAGAACGTGGATGGACTTTGAAGACATTATCCTAAGTGACATACATCAGACTGAAAAGGACAAATATATGATTCCAGTTATATGAATACCTAGAACAGGCAAGTTCATAGAGACAGAAAGTAGAATAAAGGTCACCAGGTACTGGGAGCATAAGGAAATGGAAAATTATTGTTTAGTAAGTACAGAGTTTCTGATTGGGTTATGAAAAATTCTGGAAATAGATGGTGGTGATGGTTACACAACACTGTGAACTTAATGACACAGAACTGTACACTTGAAAATGATTAAAATGATGAAGTTTATATTATGCACATTTTACCAAAATAAAAGAAGAAAACAAAATAACAATGCTAGCAGAGTGCCTGATGCAAAGTCTATTAACAAATGATAGATACAGTTACATCCCATTGTCCCCATTTTTACCTGTTCTAAGTAATGTAGGGACAAGTTGATATACTTGGCCTCAGTTAGAAGTTGGCCCCCTACTCCAGTCTTTGCAACTCGCTCTGAACCAGCCAGGTCAACCAAATGAAGTTTGGCATGCCGGACAGTTGCAGATCCTGGTTCCTTGCTTGATAAGTGAATAGTGAAAATGCAGTGGGATCGAGTTGAAGCCTGGTTCATTGGAGTCTATAAAATGAAATTGAAAAACAAAATTAATGTGAACACTGAGAATTTTTGCAGACTATCAAAAAGTTTAGATGTATGTCTCTAATGGTATGACTTTGAAGCCAATGCTGTCAAACTCAGCAAAAAGCTTGTGGCTGAGATCTCTTAAAGTGAGTTATTTTTAATATACTGTCTCTTGAATGACTGACAACAGATATGGGTGGGTTGATTCAGAAAGTGAGGAAAGAGTTCAAATGAAGTAAAGCATGAATCCTCTTACTAATACAGTAACTTAATTTCATTACGTGACCACAGTCCTTCAGTCCTTACCTTAACCTTGGCTAGCCATACTTGCAAATGTTCGATGGGAATGTCATGGGGAAAAAAGTGAAAATGGATGTACTGGGGGAATTCATTACACACTTGTAATAAACACAACCCACAGATGAGAATGTCCAGTATCACTGCTACTACCAACAGTGAATGAGGATCCCAACCAATGCAATAAACAAGAAAAAGAAATACATTATGCTGAGTGAAATAAGTCAAGCAGAGAGAGTCAATTATCATATGGTTTCACTGATTTGTGGAGCATAACAAATAGCATGGAGGACAAGGGGAGTTAGAGAGGAGAAGGGAGTTGGGGGAAATTGGAAGGGGAGGTGAACCATGAGAGACTATGGACTCTGAAAAACAATCTGAGGGGTTTGAAGGGGCGGGGGGTGGGAGGTTGGGGGAACCAGGTGGTGGGTATTGGAGAGGGCACGGATTGCATGGAGCACTGGGTGTGGTGCAAAAACAAGGAATACTGTTATGCTGAAAATAAAAAATAAAAATAATAAAATAAAAAATTTAAAAAAAAATAATACCAAAAAAAAAAAAAAAGAAATACAAGTCATAGTGACAGGAAAAGAAGAGATTAAAACATAATTGTGTACAGAAATATGATGATGTACATAGAAAATGCAAGAGCACATATAAACCATTAAAAACTAAGAAGTTTAGCAAGGCTGCTGGATGCAAGATCAACATGCCAAATCCAGGAAGTTCTAATAACCCAGCAATAATTAAGCAGGAAATATCATATTACTCATAATGGCCACAAAGGCAATGAGATAACAGGAGATTAATCTTATAAAAATGTGTGATTTGTTGGGAAATGATATTAAAAGATTAAAAAAGGAAACCTGAGTAAAGGTGTCCTAGCTATTAATATACGATGTCCAGGATGGGAAAACTAAAAATCCATCTCTATGTTAATTTCTCTGTATTAACCTGTATATTCAATGCAGTTGAAACAAAAATAGCGCACACTATGTTTGTGGAACAGAACAAATCAATCAATTCTAAAACACAGATGGAAGAGCAAATATTAAAAAAATAACAAAAATAATTCTGTGAAAGAAGAATGAGAAGGCAACTTGTCCTGCTGTACATCAGGGTATATCACAATGCCACAATAATTAAAACAGTGTGGTGCTGCGGTAGGGACATATAACACAGTCAGTAAAACAGGCTGGGCTTGTGTAGGCACTCTGTATAGGATAGAGGAGACATGGAGTACCGAGGAGAAAGAATGGACTAATTAACAAATGGTGCAGTAATAACCAGCTCTCCATCTTGAAAAAATAGAATAAATTAAGGTTTCTTTCTCACACCAGACACACAAATAAAGTCCAGAAGGTATTAAAGACTTACGTGTAAATTAATACAATTGTAACATTAATATAAGAAAATATAAAAGCATATCATAGTCAACCCAAGGCAATAATGGATCTTTTTTCGTTAAAAATAAAGATTTGTTTATTTATTTGAGAGAGACTGAAAGAGCAAGTGGGGAGAGAGGCAGAAGGAGAGAATCTCAAGCAGATTCCCCACTGAGTGCAGAGCCTGACACGGGGTCAATCTCAGGAACCATGAGATCACGACCTGAGCCAAAATCACAAGTCAGCAACTTAACTAACTGAGCCACCCAGGCGCCCTAGTAATGGATCTTTTATGATAAGACATTAAACACAAAAATGAAGTGATTGAAAGTATTTGACCAAATTATCTAAAATTGAAGAACTTCTGGGTGATAAAATCTACCACAAAGTTAGAAGACTGGGAAATGACATTTGCAATCCATATGGCTAACAAAAGATTAATATTTGAAATAAAGAACTCCCACATGTCGATATGAAAAAGACAACTCAGAAAAAAATGAGCCAAGGATATGAATAGGCAACCCATAATGAGGAAATCTGAACATGGTCAATAAGTATTTTTTAAAAATGCTCAAATTCACAGATAATCAGGACAAATAATTCAAGCCAAAATGATAAACTATTTCATTTACATCCATCAGACTGGCAATATTTTAAAGAAACAAAGTCTAATGAGATAAGGTTCATAAAGATACAAGGAAATGGGAACTTTTATATACTGCTGGTGACAACATAAATTAAGAACCATTTTGAAAGCAATTTGACAATATGTGGTTAATGTTGTAGATGCATAAATCCCACAACCCAGCTGCAGACTATGAGGTGTATTTCCTGGAGAGAAAATTTGGAACAAGGAATACTAGGAGAGAGAAAAGTGTGGATGATATACACACATATGAACATTCACTACGACACTGTTAGAGGATAGCAAGAAAGTGGTGCAAGATGTATCACGTAAATGAACACCTGTGGTGGAAAAGATGAATACACTGGGATAATTCAAACTATAGAGAAGTAAAAATGAAGCACCGTTTGGCAGATGGGATTTCTGAAACACTGAGGAAATAAAAGCATATTAAAGAATGATGTAAAGTTAGATGATCAAAATGATATCTATGATAGAACTTAGGCAACCAAAAAAGCAATGCTATCTAAAAGATTTGTTCATGGCTCTATAACTTAGGTCATTAAAGTAAAAAAATACAGACTGGAAGGACATAGCAAATTAACGATAAGAGTTATTTTTGTGAGGGAAACAAAGCAAAAGGCCGACAAGAGGACTTCAAGTGTATGTGTAATAGCCTATGTATTTAAAATGACCAGAAGCAAATTCTGATACCTAAAAATAAAAAATCATCTAAAAATATTCCAAATGAATGCTCACGTAAGTAAATATGTTCATCTTTCTACCTCTGCAAAATGGGATTTAATGAAAGAATTTCCATACGGATGCACATGTATTTGGGTAACACACTTGGATGTTATTCTATTTTATTTTATTATTTATTTATTTGAGGGAGAGAGAGAGAGAGAACACAAGAGGTAGGGAGGGGCAGAGGGAGAGAGAAGCAGACTCCCCACTGAGCAGGGAGTCCACCCTGGGGCTTGATCCTAAGACCCTGAAATCATGACCTCAGCTGAAGGCAGACGCTTAACCAACTGAGCCACCTAGGTGCCCCCTTGGATGCTATTTTAACCAGAAATTTCTTTCTGTAAATATGAGTTCTTGATATATAATCCATTGTTGATTTATACCAAGTAGCAAAATACACAGATGTAAAATACTGACATTGTTTTGGTGATGATGTAGACAGTGAGTTAAATAGGCTGAAAATGTGACCCATTACTCGTTGCCACAATAACTATACCCAGATCTGGCCAGTGTGTGATTTTGATCGCTGAAGTGGATTGGCAAATAACTGTGCCTGAAAAACCGCAAACTCAAATTTAGAACCTAAGTTGAGGTGTCTTGAAAGTGACTGGAAGTTATTTGCAGAACTTAAACATGGGTTTCATTTCACTGTTATATTCGCACAACAATAAATCCTACAGTACTGTCACAAAAGTCAAATTGACAATCGATATAAATGAGTAACACGGAGACTGTCCCCAGCGGCTGTCTTCAGCTTCTATGCGGATATATTGAAATCACAGTAAAATGTGGCCATTAGCAAATAATGGAAGAGCATGCCCATTTCAAAGGAATGTGAGATTTACATCAAATTAAATTGTATTTCTGGAGTCTGTAATTAAAATGCTGTCGGAGTCCATGCCTACAATTTTGTAACTTCTCATAAATATTTCCTGCATGAAGTAGTAGTTGGTGTCCTCTCAGCTAAAATTTTCTTAAACCTCAGAGAACATTCTTTATGTGTAGCTGTTTTAAGTGTGATTGAATGTGTTGGTGTCTGCTCTCTGTTTGTTCAGGGGTGTCTTTATGTCTCATAGGCATGCCCCTACGTTTGCCCTTTCAAAGGTAAAATTGTATTAAAACATTTCTGAAACTGCCTAAGAACAGATGGCACCATTTAGGCAGATTCATTCAAATTTAAGCGCACATTTTAAACAAATGTGCTCTTGGCACTAGAGCCTATGTCTTTGGAAAAATTTTAGTGATGATTAATCATCCACATGGAGAGAGCTTTCACATTTCATATCAGTCTATGGCTACAGCTCTGCATCAGGCAGCACAAAGACTAGAAGGAAAGTAAGACATAGACCTTGCCTTCAAGGAATTTATAATCTAGCTCAAGAGCTAAAGACAAAATAAGAAAAATGAGAGTGAAAGATGAGAAAAAGGCAAATGTTCAATGAAGTAGTCTGTTCTCAGAACTGAGCATCCCGATCTTTTAGGTAATACCCAAGAATGCTAACCATCCCCTTATTCTGGAAGTTCCAGCCACCCTGCCCCTCCTTGGTTTCTATAATCAAACGTTATTCTGGCATTTTTTTTTTTTTCCTCTTGAGAGTGAGAGAGAGAGAGAGAGAGATCTCACATGAGCAGGGGACAGTAGGAGGGGTTAGGGGAAGGAAAGGGCAGGTGGAGAGAAAGAAGCTTAAGCAGACTCCACACCCAGCTCAGAGCCCAACACTGGGCTCAATCTCACAACCCTGAGATCATGACCTGAGTCAAAATCAAGAGTCAGAAGCTTAACCAACTGAGCTACCCAGGCTCCTTGTGTTCTGGCACTTTCCTGTTGTCTTTTTCCTTTATTGGATCTTTTTCTTTCATCCATAAAATAGGCATGTCCCACACTGTGTTCATCATATTTCTTCCCCTTGGAGAGTTCTTCTTCTATAGCTTTGATTATCATG